GTCCACCAAATAACAGCCTTTTATATGAGAGCTGGGAATGGTTGTTTCAGCCCTATGAACATAAAAGGAACCATCCCCTCAGTCTGCTCCTCCACTGCAATTGTGCACAGCTACAGGAAGGAAGGAACAATGCTATGCTATTAGAGCAATCCAGAAGCCCGGCTTCCCAATCCTGCCCTGATTCCGCGACCTCCCACATAGACAAGCCTGCAGCGGCTTCATGTCCCCTTCTGTGGACATGTTATCTCCAGGGCAGAAACATCAGAGGGTTAATAACTAAACAAATAGCAGCCACTTATTCACTTATTCTAACTTATTTTCTTTCTGTCACCCTATGTTTCTTTTTTTAATGACAAATCTTATCTTACTAGATGTAAGTATAAAAACAGAACTACACATGACAGATGAAAGCAGTATTTATATCTATGAAAACCACTTCAATTACCTGAAATGTGCATTTGAGAGCCTTTATGACTATCTGCCTAATTTTTGTGCTTCCAAGTGCCACCTGTAATTTCCAGTATTTGATTTCTTGGAAGGGATATAATTTTAAAGACAGAAATTGTTATAATTGGAAAGCAATGACAGAAAGCAATGTCACTATTAAAAGAGTGAACAAATCAGGACTAACTCAGATAAATAACAGAATACAGTCTGCAGGACCACTGTGAAAGGAGTAATTACAGTAAAGACTGGATTATGAGGGAAAAGGTCCCTTAACAGAAAGATATCCGAACTCTGAATTTTGGCTCCCTTACGGCTGAAGTCCCACATAAACAGTCCCTGGAACAAAGACTGCTTTCCTTACATGATTGCACTGTGGCTGTTCATCTAACCAAGAAGGAAAATTGCAGGTAAATTTGTTTTCCCCTTGTTTTTTCAGTGGCAAATGCTTAATAATAGACTGATTTAATTCAATTTTGACTCTGTTAAGTCTCTCAGCTCAGTGATAAACATACAGAAACCTAACCAACTCCCACCTCCTCAGGTTTCCCTCCAACCTGGCCACTGACCCTCAACACCACACATTAGGACTTAAAGAAAATGCAAAGCCAAAAGAGGTATCGATAGTTTAAAAAGCATGTCATCAAGAAATATGGCAGCAATAAGCAGAAATTAATGTAAGTATGGTATTTCAAAAAAATCATGTAAGTATAGTATTTTGTAAGTAAAAAAAAAAAAGGTAGTTCTCCCCTTATGCCTATATCACTAGGAGAACCTAAGATGTAAGTGACAATAAAACTCCCACAGGCATTCTGTAAAAAAAAAAAAAATCAGTTCCCACAGAAAACTTTCTTTCCCTTCTCTTATTAGTTTCATTATAAGCGTGTGACTAGAATTTCAGAGGGCAACTAGCGCTCTTTTAATAAATATGGGCAATAGAGTCTGAAAATGAACATACAGAGAATTTATAAGGAAATTTTGCTAAACAGGGCTTTGTATAGCACTCATGATCAAAGAGTATAACAAAATGAAGGAAAAATACAGGAAAGAGAAAAATTGTATCAAAGTGGAAGAATAATTAAAAATCATGACTTAATAATAAAGAAAACAGGCCGCCCAGCAAGAGCTGGGGAAATATTTTTCTTAGGATTTCAATTCTGGATCGAAATATAAATAAAATGATTTTTCATGGGGAAAAGTCACTGAGCAGGAGTTTGAGCAGGTGTAGCCTCCCCACAGGCCAAGCTAATAACAGGGTGTAACACCGATTGATCACCCCTCCAGGACACCCTCTCTGTGGAGATACATGTTGAAGCCCGGCACTGATAAAATGACTTTCTGTATAATATTACAACCTCTCTTTGGCCACTCATTTGTGTCCTTGGGTAAAATAACTTATTTGGGCTTTATTACCAAAGAAGTATAATTAGTCATTTTGTAGAACAAAGTATTGATGTCACAAGCCAGTTTTCTGAACAAGCCTCTAAAGCAGCACCTGCACCATTCATGTTTATAAATCAGATAATTGCACCTTGAGCCACTTATGTGTACATGTAATTAGCCTAATTTACATATGCAAATCAATTATCTTACATACAGTTTGCCAACTTTGTACTTTCTTTATGCTCTTCTTTCACTACTTTGTAAGTTCAGTTACATAAGATTTCTGAAATACTATTTTAATAAACTACCGTATATTCTTTTTCCTCAAGTCACTTTGGAATATTTCCAATACTTCCACCTGATAATAAAATAGAAGGACAAAGTTCAAAGAAGATATTAATTCTCTACTGATTCATTATATCAGGAAACTGCTTCACTTGTACTGGATATTCTAAAACCATTTTAATCAACCTTTTCTACTCTCTCAAAAGGACATTAACTATAATCCAGAGTTTCCAACTCTCCCCTAATCCCAAGTGACAATACTGAGAAATAACAATATAATTAGAACAGGGATTTGATAGGCATAAAAGACAATGATCGATCTCATTCAATATTTTAATCTCTGGACAGAGATTTATACCTTGTGCCCAGGCCCATTAGGCAGAATACCTGAATCTCCATTCAAATGCTAAACTGTAAATGATTCTGCATGGAAAAAAACAATTAATTATTGAAAAAGTTTTGAAGGAAATAATGATAAAAAATTTTATATTCAAGACTACATTAAGATTTGCACACCATTACATCTCAAATATGCAAACACAAACATGAAAGTAAATTTTTAAGAATTCTCCACTGACATAAGGCAAAATAGTCTAAGTTCATAATTTGTGTACTATTACTTAGGCAGTTAAGTTTAGATCAGTAAAAGCTTTGCTTTGTCTTAATGTGTAATTCAACTAAAAACAAAGCTATCTTAAACTTGAGAAATCAAAATAATTCTGCTATCATAATAAATTGCCTATTTTTAAAGAGCACAACTGGTTATTTTTAAAAATCTTTAAACTTCTATAAAATACTTTAATACACAGTTTCAGATTTTGAAAAACTTCTTGAAAATACTTTTTTACAACTATGAAACGCTCTATGGTTCAACTAAAGGTGGCAGATTTAACAGATAAATTTATTTCCTCTCACTATAAATCTTCATTAAAACGATAGCAAAAGAATATTTTAAAAGTATAAACCACAAGAAAAAAGGAGAGCAGTGGACAAGCAATTTCAACAAAATTTTTCAGTATGGAAAGCAGATAACCTAGTGACAACTGGTTTAGCGATGCAGGGGCAGCTGCATGCTGAAGTACTAGCTGAGGGCTACTCTGAGGTCACCTGAGCAGATCAGCCCAAGAAGAGCTAGTTAATAGTGAAAGTG